GCAAACGCACTGGAAACCATGAGGCAACGCTTTGAGATATTCCTCAGGAGCAATTAAATCGAACAACAGTGCAATAAAGACAACAGGCGAGTGAGATCTCGAATGCCCTATTAAGCATATCACCAAACCACAGTGAGCTGTCAATGTGCAGCACGCGCGCACTCACTGATTCGAATCGCCACATCCGTCAAGCGCTGAACCTTCAGTGGGCATGCCGGACTCAGAAACGAGCCGCGGTCCACACCTCACTGCCCCTCCGGCGCCACTAGCCCAAATTCAATAGTTAAATAGGTGGGTGCCCTAGTAGCGCAACGGCGCCCATTGGTGAGTGGTGGATAATGCGCAATCGAAAGCAGAGTGGTTTGTTTGTGTGCGTGGGACACTCGACGAATCGTCTTTAGCAACAAAGCCTCACTGATGGCAAGCAGTTTTCGACTCCGGTTACGTAATAACAACTGGGACGAATTCACCGGGGCTTCATTTGAGGCTTGGGGATGGACGAGACGCGGGCCCCGTTCATCATTTGATCTACAGGGATGGCATAAACCACATTGGGAAATATCCAACCATCCTGTGAGTCGGTTGAACTGATGAACTGGGCGATACCACGGAGGCTGAACTGTCTGGTAATGTATTCTGGCGCTTATGGATGACATTGTTTTCAGGGTTGTACACAAGTGGTGCTCAAGCAGTGGTGTGTTTGCGGTAAGGCAGACCCGGTTTAGTATCAAGCGCTATTCACAAATGCTTGATGCCAACAGCATCGATGTTATTGTGAGGTATCTGCTTATATGCGACCGCGCACCATTACACACGGATCTGGAACGTGCGTTCCAAGAGGAGCTTTAACAATCATGGAGACTTGCAACTCGCACCATATTCGTCTTCACTGAATTCAATAGATTTGCGCAGCTTGTGTGCATCCCTCATTTTGTGCACGCAAACTGTGCAAAGCTGACGTACTTATAAGAAACCGTGATGGCTAAACCTTTCCGCGCACTACGAAGCAACCTATGGGGGACCACACATTAATCAGACCACCTGGTTGTCGTGTACCAAGCATGTCTGAGAATATACCGTTTGTTCGTTTCCGTTTTGCAATATATTTATTTTGCCTACTTCGTCTAAGTTGCGTGCTAACTCCGCCCCGTAAAAACGTTGTTGCACAGGGCCAGGAGAATTTGCAGCCCGTACTCACTAAATACTGAAGCAAAGGGTTTATACAACCAAATACATTGCAATGGATATCCAGAGAAAATCATCCAAGTTCACGGCAAATCCTGAAAAAGAGAAGCTGTCAATTCTTACAGTCACGAGAATGATTGTTTTCCTGTTTCTACCGTTCAAAGAGTATCCTTTGTGAGCGGTGCTCGACAGTTAATCAGGTCTACCGTATCGCGGAGATACTTGACTACTTGACCACAACACATCTACACCTCCCAAAAATTATTGTCATCCAAAGCTGCCAGAGTACATTGCCAGACAGTTCAGCCTCCGTGGTATCGCCATCGATTCAAATGATTCAAGGGACGACTGACCAGTTCGTAATGTAATTAAAGCTATCCCTGTGGAAACAACATTAAGTGGACCAAGTGATGAACAGGACCTGCGCCTCGTCCATCCCCAAGCCTCAAATGAACCCCGGTGAATTGGTCAAGTTGTTAGTACGTAACCGGAGTAACCGGTATTGTGCGCACACAAACAACAGATGCAACTGGCAAGACTGCTCTGTTCCTAATTGCGCAATATCCACAACGCACTAGTGGGATTACTTGCGCCACTGGGGCATCTACCTATGAAACTGCTTAGTGGAAAAACAAGCATATCGCTACGGTAGTCATCTCCTTGGTTTGATGAAGTGGTTTTAAGGGATTCAATGTTTTGCATGATGGGTTTCGCCCATACACCGTTTCGGAGGACCGACTGGCATGTAATTTCGGCTAGTGGCACCTGAAAAGCGGTGACAGGTGTGGACCGGTGCGTTTCGGGGTGCGGCATTGTAGCGCGTCGGAGTGTCACTATAGCAAGTCAACAAATAAGTTGTCATCGAGCGTAGCCTAGATTGTGAGCGTCGTTTTCTCTTCTATTTGCTTTCCCATTTCGTCTTCGGTGTTGTATTAGCCCATCGTCATACTCTTTCACGATATCCATCTAGTCGCCTCGTGCTCGGTCCTCTATCGGCAGCTGTGACAGTACCGCCCAGCTAGCCACGAGATGTGACACAAGCACACCGTTCATCCAGCTCTGACACTTACTAGGTGGTTCTCCAGCCGCCTACGAGGTAGCTTCTTTGCCTTTCGGCCGCCCTCGGTCTAATACGACACTGAAGCCCTTGGAACCCTCGACCGGACGCATATTACAGTCATGCTCACTGAGCACAATGTTGACAGGTCCGCGCTTGGTGGATGTAGCCATTCGCAGTGCACAACACCTGACGAATCGTCCCTATTACCAAAACCTCACTGATGGCAAACAGTTTCCGACTCCGGTTACGTAATAACAACTTGAACGAATTCACCGGGGCTTCATTTGAGGCTTGGGGATGGACGACGCGCAGGTCCTGTTCATCACTTGGTCCACTCAATCATGTTGCCACAGGGATGGCATAAACCACATAGGGAAATGTCTAACTATCCCGTGAGTCGGTTGAACTGATGAACTGGGCGATACCACGGAGGCTGAACTGTCTGGCAATCTACTCTGGCGCTTCTGGATGACATTGCTTTTGGGGTTGGACACAAGTGGTGGTGTAATTCACAGAGCAAAAACCTATAATGAAAAACTGTCCTGTCCAGTTAGGTTTGTGGTACACAGATTGGATTAGTGTGCAATTTGTGTAGTTTTTAAACTAACAACCAAAAAATAAAGGGTTCCAGAAGTTGCGTTTTCAACTGTGAATCTCATCGCAGGGGTGTTTAGAACACAGGGTAGGTTCTCTGTTTGTTCGGAAGTGTCTACAGCGACATAAAATGCCATTTATGTAGTGACTAGAGGAATGCACGTTTCGTATGTGAGAACGTGGCGCAGTAATTCCCAGGTGGCGCACAAAAAATATCAGTCAAAAAGGATCCAAATGGACGGCCCATGGCTGCACCATGTTGATAGAAGGTGCAGCTGAACCTAAACTGGACATTCGTAGTAATGACTACAAATAGTGAGCTGGAAAGCCAAATTTGCTGGAACGTATGCCTATTACGTCCAGAAGTTTTACTAAGGGAACAATGGTGCATAATGTACATACATGAAACGAAACCACGTGTTTCTTTACTACGTGCAAATGCAGTATTTTGCCGACAAATTCGAACGTATCTCTGGGACTACATACAGTTAGTTCATGCCGAAGAGAGTAAGTTCGGCTAACCATCGTACCAACATTTGAAACAATACGCAGGCCAATAAAACCAGTGGAGGGAGGGGCACGCCTTATTTATGGACCCACGGTAGGCCGTACATATGGGGAAGGTGAGACTCACGAGGGCGAAGCTGTACCATAGTTTTCAAGTCAATCAATCCAATCTACATTAGCTTTTTAGTTCACGAACTAGCATTCCCTCGACTTGTTTAGTTCTAGCACGACCCATCACATCGCGAACGAAGTGGTCGGCAAATAGCCTAAAGGTAACGAACTTGTCTTGTAATGTGGCGGAGCGAGTTCTAGCTTACGTAGAAGTAGGGCGATCCTCGCAGTATCCTTAACCCACGTACAACCGTTAGTAGTTGCGCGGCAGCGAAGCAGTGGTACTGCATACCGGCGTACTGCTGACGACTTTTCTTTTGTACGAAGCGGCTCGTGTCAGTAAGAACTGTATTTTTCGAACATTACCATCTTTTTGTAGTAAAAGTACTCCTATCCACTTATCAAGCCTCATCGTTACCACATTCTCATTTCGCTGTAAATCGTATGAGGCCTCCAGTGGTTTTTGGTTAAAACTGCACTTTTACGTTTCGGTAAGACAAAATTAGTTGGTTAGACAAACCGTGTTAGACTCGAAGCAACCACTTGCTTCACCAGTGGCTAGTGTCAAACAGGACAATTGCTCGTATAGGTGTTGAAACTAGGCTTCGATCCCTATATCGTCACATTTATTCGACAGTACTGAAAAGTAACCCTAGTGATTGCGCCATAAAGCAGGAACGAATTGGCGAGACAAACGACAAAGGTAGCACATTTTTAAGGTCCAATTGGAAGCTGATCCTTGGAGCGCCCCCCTGACATAGAGTTCAGTTGCAGCTTGGTTGTCAGTTGTTTTCTTAAGCAAATCACGGAAAAAGTTGAAGGACTTCACGCAGCACACAAGAGCTTAGTCAGCACATGCTATCCTGGCGTTTAATTGGGCAATGCGTTGAACAAAGGCCTCAAGGTGGGATTTGGTAAAACTTCACAAGTTTCAGGGGGTTCATCGGCAATTTGTCTTTTCGCAGAGATTATAAGAAGGAAACGCACTCAGCCCAATAAATGTCCCTTTGTAGTTTGATCGAACCATGAGCAAGGAAACTCAGTGACTAGATACCCAGATGTGGATTCAATCAATGGAAAGAACTAACCAGTGTCAGTAGTTAAAACGTGAAAAGTAACGGCCATGGTGCGAGAGCTGTGTTCCTCTCTGTTCCCATGCATGATGAGTGATGGCAATCACGAGCAATCGCAAGTTAAGGGCTGTGTGAGAGAAGAGGGTACTGTCGCCATTTCCACTGAGTAGGATAGACGCATGAACATCATAAGACAAAAACCAAATAAAAGATGACACCGAGACTGATCGAAAATATTGCTGCCGCAATATTGATGACATTGCTAACTGAGACGCAATGAAAGGTCGAAAGCCAAATAGACGACCTCAAAGACAAGGAAAATAATCATTTTCATGGAAAGGAAGCTTAAAGGGCAGAGATGAGTCAAATGAGTGATGGGTTAAAGCAGAACGTCGGGTCATAATTATCATCATCACCTTTTCACACGGGGCAGCCATACACAATAGACGTCAGATGAACACCGAACTTACTCCGCAAGCTGGGTAGCAGGGGGAAATTCTTTTGTTGGGTGGAGCGAAGTGTGCAGGGAGGCCATTTCCTCCGGAGGCGCTGAGCGTCGCCTGGGAACAAGCAAGGCATTTGTAAATTGGTAACATTCACTGCCTTCCGATGTAGTATGCGCCTGCGGACAAGATATACGCGAAATCGGAGATACTTCCGATAAGCGATTTAAACCGTGATCTGAAAATGAAGGATTATAAGATTTGAATTACGTAGAGTTGAACGAGGTGCATATTCCGTCGGTCCAGGAGGTGCTGGGCTGAAAGTGGGAAAGTGAACTTCGATCTAAAATGAGCAGAACCACCTACACCTTAAAACCTGCTTCAGAAACACCCAAATTTGAATACTCCAAGTTCCCAGGCGACACTGATTTATCAGGAAATGGTGGTTCATAATAAAACTTCCCAAGTAAATGTCTCACATCACCGCCGGAGCACAACACGTGTTCTGCCTTGCATAGGAATACGGAGTTGACATCAGAAGCATTTTTCTTCGCCAAACGCAGTAAACCTTGCGCGCGAGCGTTGTGTCCTATGTGTGTAAAGAGAATGATAGGTTTTAATATGCGCACATACCGACAGTTGTATAGTAATAGGCCACAGCAACTACAAGGAGTGTGTTCTGCCTGGCGCAACTGGCGCAAATTGATAACAGGTTCAGGCCTGTATCAACATCGCTGGAGAACAAAAGTATATCGTTTTGTTGAAAAGGACAGGATGGAGGCTCACTTATGAAGAGCCAAAACAGCTCTACGAAGGAAAATGATGAGGTGAGCATCTACATCCCAATCTTCAGATAGCCACTAAGATTGGTGAGAACCACGTGGGCATGTTACTTGACAGGCACCTTCATACAATCTCAGCAGCGTTTGGTGGGCTGATCGCAAAAACTCTACGCTCCGGAGCTTCGATTCCATTTTGTCCAAATAAGTCAGCCAAGCATCATGAGAACGTGACCAGTAAGGACCTTGGAATGAGTACACTGGAACAGGAAGCTTACATTCCTTGATTATCATTTGTTGGAGATCACAAGAGAGAAACATATCAAGTATGGGCGAAGCAGAGATCTAAAAGCAAAATAGTATAATGACATGAGCGTTAGAAAAAAATAATAGAAAAGTCAACAGAATAGAGTAGTGTTACGTTGCGACGGAACTGGACCTTTTCCTGAACGGACAGCTTGTGGACTTCACTGATCAACTGGGCTATAATGGGTGGTGCAAGTTAGATACTTTGAGGGAAACTACTAAAAGAGGAACTCCCTCCCTTGGTTAACGAGGATGTGAGTTGGAACTGAGTTGCACGTATTCCTGTGGAAATAGCCCATCATGTTGACTAAGACAAACCTTTGACTACCATGCGGTTTGTCAATGGTCTTTAGTCGGGGATCCTAAAGATACTTTAATGCTAACTTCAGCTCCGTAGCAGTATCCTGTCTAGTAAGTAACAGTAATCATAACGATGGAAATCAGTCATCTTCTGCATCTGTTGTAGCGCAGATAGAAAGTGACTCCTATCTACTGCATACAACAGGCAGTGAAAGTGAAAACAAACCGCCTTGTCCCTTTTTAGTGTATCGGTCAATAGTATTCACCCAGTCTAGTAGTGCTCAGCATGACTGAGGGTAGCAGCAGTGATACCGAACCAGTGTCACCACAAGAAAAGAAAATATATCAGCAGCAGGCCGGAACGCAGTACCGACGATTCGCTGCCGCGCAACCGCCAACAGTGGCACGTGGGCTAAGCATACTGCGAGGTTGCCCGGTTCTTACAGAGGCTCAAACCTGCGCTGCAAGATTACAAGTCAAGCTCGTTACCTCTAGGCTACGGGCTGACTGTCACCATAACACCCAATAAGCTTTTAAGATCACTGGGATAATAAATAGAATGAAACGAAGAGATTATAATGAAAATGGAATAAGAAGACAGTAAGGCTTGAGAAGCAGCATTAGCGTCCATATCGATTCAGCTCGATACAGCAGATAGGGTGCCGTCGCTTATCCTATGCGACACCAGATCATGGAGAAATTGGTTGAAGAGAAGTTCATCGTATTACGCGGGCAGGATACTGTTAGGATGCTCAGATCTAGACAGGAGAACAAGCAAAGTTCTCGGCAAACCTATAGTTCGAAAAGCTGGTAACAGAGAAGCAAGCCGTCGACTGGTAGTGAAGCCAAAAATAATGAGACCAACGTTATGAATGAATGCTCGTTGAGAATAGAATTTAGTTTGCGGGGAGAGGAATAGCCGAAAACGACTTGTGACCTGTTAAAAGCTCTCATCATCATCAATACACGTTACCTGAGGGTGAGAAACACGTCTCCACTAATGTACCGCAATTAGAAGCTCTCAATAGTGTTCATTTAATATCACGTGGAATTTCTCCTCTGGAACATAATTGCCAATGCCTCCTGTTCTATCTAGATACCAATACGCGCCAGCAGTATGCCGGTACGTCGAACCGACGCCTCGTTGCCACGCGACCGCCGGCAGTAGTGCGCGGGGTACGAATACTGCGGGGTCATTTGCCACTGTGCAGATACGAACCGGCTATTTGTGGAGCACAAGACAGATGCCTTGTACCATACGATTATCGGCCATTTGCATATAGTTCGTAGCGACCGACGATTCCTTCTATGGCTTTAGAGTGATGGGAAGACCAATTAATTCCACCATGGGCCCTCACTACAATTGTTTACACAGCTCGAACATAATATGCGCCGTACTTGCCTTTGTCTGCGTTGCGGCCGGTTAGAGTAAGCTCGCTTAGCTAGCTTGGTATTTCGGGTCGCCGCGGCTACCAAATAAAAGATCCTGTTATCATATCGTGAGTTTTTATATACCACGTAAATCTTATTCGCGTCTTTAATCTTAACCGACGCCCCGACCCGTCACACTAACATAAGTGCTGCCAATTCTTCCCGTTTTCATTAGCATCTAGTAACGTACCCGAATTTCTTATGTCATCTATGTGACTACACGTCAAGATAGGTCAGTCTTCACTAACAATACAGCATCCCACCCAATAAACGCCCAAATCATGCACCAGTTGCCAAGCCATAATCTCGGCACTTAGGCGTTCGACTGATGAATCTTGCTTCCGTTAACGGAAAAAAAAATAATAATAACAGGAACAAGTTTTCCTTACTTTATGAACGTGGCCAAAATGCAACTGCTGACGATGCGTAGTCAATGAGAACATGATTAAGAATACTGCACTTCTGAAAATATATCCGAAGAACACTTCAAGGCCATCTGAAAGCTTCTATAGCACGATATTCCACGAGGACACTAATCTAATCAAAATACGTGTTACGGGACACGTAGATAATATCGAAACCTAATATCAAGCATGGTGTGGGGTTGGAAGTGATTCGGTGTTGTTGCTTTCAACACTCACACCCCAGGACCGACGGTTTCCTCCTCGTTTGGACTTATCAAATGCAAACAGCCTGAGCTGGGGTGGACCTCGGGTTCTAGTGGTTAACGACTGACGCCTTGATTACTATGTCGCTGAGATCTCTGAGAAACGCTTGGTACAGCGGTGAGGAATTCAAAGTTGTTGTTGTTGGAGTGTTCGCCGTGTGGTTGGATTGTGACAGGCAATCTCTACTGAGACCCCGGTTCACTGTGAAGCAGACCACGGTCGTTTCAATCAGAAGGATCGTATACGAAATGTAAGTGATTCAGTGGTATTGGTGTTGAACGATGATACTTAACCTTTAGGCAGTACCACTGAAGGTGGGTTGCAGTGGCTAGTTTAAATAGTTCAGAATGCCTTATGCTAGTGAAGCTCTTCATAATCCAAAACATTACAGGATCTGTCAATCTGTGCCGCCTCAATGAAAAAAAATCTTAAAACAGTTGGCGATAAAAGAACTAGTGGCAAGTCCGTACCTTATCTATACGAATGCAAGGACAGAGCAATATTCTAGGCGTGTCAGTTATAACGTAAAACCTCAGGTAAAGTGCTGTACAGTGATTTTTTGAAGCGGAATACCTTTTGCTGTGCTTTGGATAAGTAGTAAGTAGAACATCCGAACGCCGTACTGACACAGTGCTGCCACACGACTGCCACCGGTCACGAGCAGGATTGGAATACTGCGCGGTCGCTAACTATTAAAGTCGGATGTATGAAATAACGGTGCTGAACACTCGCTTTTGCTACACCAAATATGACAGTCCGAGTGCGCTCATTGCACAACCAGTGTTCTCACCAGAGATGAGCAAACTTCGAAGGTGGCGACAGAAAAACGTAACGAGCCTCTTTATGTCAATCGATCTGATGGGCTAGATTTCACAGCCTTGTAAACTCTTCAGGGCGAGAGTGATGTCGCACCGACGTCACATGTGGTGGAGATTGGCAATAGCACTTCGAGCTTCTGCTATACGGTTTGTGACTTCATCTTCTATTCCATAGGCGCGAACATATACTTGCCTAGATGCTTAAATTTCTGAATGACTTCTAGATGATCACCACCAAGTCAATAAAGGAGTTGGTTCCTGCTAATAGTAGGGAAAAACTGCATTCCGTGGGTGTACAGCATAGCCCGGAAATATTGACAACGGGTGCGTATTTGTCCAGTGCTGCTTGGAACGTTTGTGAACTGTCACAGATAAGGGCAATAACCTTGGGGTGCTACAAGAAGTCTATCGCCTTAGAGAAGCTCCACACCTTCCAATTCATGTCCAACGAACGTAATCTCCGTGCCTTCTTTGATGGCGAAGTTAAAAAGGAAAGGTGACAGCGGGCAACATTGTCTTACAATGCTGGAGATAATGAAGGGCGTGATAGCCTATCATAAGCCCTCACTCTGTCTGAACTACGCACGTACAGCGCTCTAATGATATTTACTTCCTTATCGGCATGCCTTTCCTGAACAGACAATCACAAAGAGCACATCGACCCAGAGCCGAAAGTAGCTTTGACGATGACGAAAACGGTGGATCACTAATAAATATGGCCGTCGCTCTAACAATTAATGTAATGTGTATTAGGAGGACAGCTATTAGACATTCATTTATTGTGACCGAGCTTGATAGCTATTCTTTATGCTTCCTTTTTTCTATTTCTTGACTGTTGTTTAAACGCTCTACTGGGTTCGCCCGATTGGTACATCAGCGTCATTGTTAATGGACACTCATCGTCATGCCCTTCTCAGCAGCGCTGTTTGCAAGAACATATTCTATTGGGTTTTTGTCTTCTCATCACTGTTCTACCTGGTTAGGTTAAAGGAATATTTAGTGTCACACAATTATTGTACTAGTTTTCAACTTGTGGGTCTGCATTCCTTATTCGCGTTTGTTTCGTGACTTTTGTTTAAACGTTTCATTTCGTCATTCTGATTGCCAGTGCCCGTCACTGTAAATGGTCGTTCACTTTACGCTTGGAGCCCAATGATGCTATTTTTAAGGACCTACGCGATTCGCTCTTACGTACACGGTTGCTTATTCGCCGTTGCATTTTACATTTTTCCTTCAGTTGGTTGGCTCAAGTGTACTTTAGTAGCTTCCCATCATTTTGCCTTCAAACTATATAAGCAACTGTGATTTTATGTATACAAGTCTCCTTCTGGCTCGTCTTGGACTTCTTCTCGCGGTCGTGGGGTGAAGACGTCAGCGGCGACACAACAATGTGCAAATGTGATCAATGCAACCGCGAGTTCAGGGAAACCTAAACGGTGAACAGGTATGCACAGAACATGCCCAAACCCACGCAAATCAGTAATATATACAAACCAACTAAACTAGCAGTTCAGTTAAACAGCTATGACTAGAACACGGAACGTCGCTAAATACATTTGTCAAGACTTAAAGCCGGTCGCGTGAACTACAACAGAGATGAACAGATCAACTGTATCAAGTTTACTTGTCTCCGACTTCATCTCCCATTGCCAAATCAACTTTCGCCTTCCTTAAACTACGAGACACAATACATCCAAACACTGGTGTGGTTGGCTCCAACACCCATGTGCAAATTCAGACAAAATGCTCAGTCAAAATTCTCATGTCCTACCATGTTCACCTGCCAGATATTAGCATTGTCAAGTATCGACGATTAAAGGTA